GATTTTGGAGAGGATTGATTTATGTCTCAGTAAACCTTTCTGTGTTAGTTCAAGGTCAGTCAGAATAAAACACGTTGCATACATGAATGCTTGTGGGTGTTTGTTTTTCCTATCTAGTATAGTATAAAACAGGACAGGAACAAGCAAGCTATCAAGATTTCATGAAGAAAATAATTCTTTCAAGAAATGGATGAGATCCTCATATCAATTAGCTACAAACAACTAATGAGATTAACAGGCCAAATGAACTTGTAACTAATCTTAAGCTATTACCTTCCTAAAAAAAACATCTAAATTTTCTTAAACCTCAACGATGTTACTGAGGGATCTGTTCCAGAGTTCGGTGATGTTGTGTGAAGACCTGCCTGTTTGTACTGTACAGGTATGTCTTTGTATGTATGCTCCTAGCATTCTCAAAAACAACTTACTAGATATAATTTCTAAAACTTTGCAAAAAATTAAAAGCAGATTTGTTTACCATTATTACATCCAATAATGTACATACTGGATTATTTTAAAGCACTATACTTTAAGTAGCATAAAATAAAAAAACACTGACAAGAAAAGTGTGATTGAGCAAATAACTACACTTAACCTACATGTCTCTGGATCAGCCAGAGAATCTGAAGGCCACATATACACAATGTCCAAACTCCCAACAGACACGCAACCGAGATCAGGATTGAACCACAGATCGTGGAGTTCATGGCAGTAGCATTATCCACAACACTGCTGTACCACCTGTAAGACCGGTTGGCTTTAGCACTAGTTCAATATAATCATCAATAACAAATACTGTAAAGAACTGCCTAGTTTCTAATCAACACCAATTAAAACCCAGTGTACAGTAATTCATGAAAAACTAGGGTTTGTAATGTAAAATAAACAAATGCATCTACATAATCTGTTTTGTGGCTCTGAACATGTTTGCTCATTTATAAATGTGCTAGTTTGAGTGAGGAGCGCAAGAATTAAGGGTCACAGCCCCATAGAATCAAAGATAGCAGATTAAGGTAGAATTAGCATACTACTTTCTAGATTAAGATTTGGGGTCCTTTAATATTCAAATTGTATAGTGACTCCAGATGTTGAAAAAGCGCATAAACTTGTCTTAAAAGCATCAGGTAGTTAAAATGGGATGTGACATTAATACAAATGACAAAATTTAACAAAATATTGCATGATTTATTTCCTTATGGTAACTAACAAAATCTCTCCAAAGAATATCTTGTTTTATTCAATCACAAAATAAATAAATCATGCAACCATAGACTTTCTAACATGTTGTCTACAACTGTCCAAACCACTATTAACGTTATGAGATCTATAGGTCAGTGAAACAGAGTTTGAAATATAAAGAGTGACTTGGGGATTCCAGTCTTCAGTGGACAATCTGCTCTGGTGGCTGGGTGTGCTGTTTCAGAGGTCTTATCCAATCAGACAGCTTGGCTGGCTCTTGTAAGCCACTGGAGAGAAGCCTGATGTGAAAAGCACTCTATCACTTAGGAAGGCACTCGTGCAGCTATTAATCCCTATGAAAGTTCCAAAGCCCGACACTGAGGGTGAAATATGTGCAAAATGGAGCGGTTGCTACCCATTACATTATTGATTATCACCTGACCCAGCAACGCCACCAGATGCCACAGAGGCTACTTAAATTTCCACTGCTTGTTTAAAGCTGCCACAGCTCATTTTGACTGCTGCTGTTTTTACTGGTGCCAGAATTGATTTGGCTAATGAAATCCATAATACACAGTGCTTCATAACTAACAGAAGGAGATCAAGTGTTCACAATATCTTAAGCAGTTTATCTCCAGGATGTGTCCCTGCAACTGATTACAGGCCACAGTGCCATGCAAATTAAAACCCAATTGTTTAACTAAGAATGAGAAGGAAAAGCGTGTTTTAGAGGGAAATCTGTTTAATATAAATATTGAACTACTTTCTTCACACAACTGAACATTGACATAACAGTTAATGTTTCGTGTTTGTTATATGTGTAATCTAAAGAATGACTATGGTATACAGTATGTAGCTAGTATGGAATTAAAATAAGGGTAAAACAATATTGCAAATTAGCTCTTGTCTAGAATACTGTAATTATTGGTAGTGACTTCATAAATCAAAAACATTAAACCCCTTTGTTAAATTATATACTGTATTTAATTTTAGGTTCATAAAATACCAACATATGTATTTATATTTTAGAAATGAACCTACATAACAGAGCTTTTAATTTTGTTTTGTACCATATTTTTTATTTAAGGAAGTAAAAGTAAATGCTCCAAGAGAGTCTCAGCAATGTCAAAAATATTCCTGTGCCATCTTTTACATCTGCTGTTGTGTACTTGTAAGACATTACTCAAGGGAGCAGGTTGCACATGTACTGAAATACTTCAGGACAAGAAGAGGATGGACAGTAAGTCTTACTTAAGTATTTTACATACACAACCAAGTATATATCTGTTAGCAAAATTCAAATAGCCAAAACCAAAGTCAAAATAACATCTTCTCAACAATTTAACAAAATAATTTACATATGTGTTTGCACAGTGCATTTCACTTCTGTACCTGGCTGAAATTATAATGACTGGCAATTGTGAAGATAAAAGAGTCCCATTTCATAAAGGCTGATATAATTTTATTTGGATTGTCAGAAGGGAACATGACTGTGCATTTTTAAACCTGGATTCAATTTATGTCAGATAAATTAGAGATCGAGTATAGACTTTGGCAGTGGACATTAGAGTAGAATAGTGTAGAACATCAAAGGAAAGGATGTTTTAAATGACAGGATTGGGTCACTTAGTTTTCATTACAAAAATACATGCTTCAGACATTCTAAATAACAAATGATTTGATGTTTTGTTTTGTATTCTTATATCATAAGATGACAAAAAGTTATAGTAACCCAAATTAATTACGGTTTCTTGGTACCTGACAGCAATAAATTTTGTGGCAAGTTGCTATTAAATGATTTCTTATGTTAATAATACCGCAATAGAATAAACATTTTATTGCATTTTAAATACAGAAACATGAAATGTGAAATTACTATCCCATTATTTAATCTCTGAGTTTCAATACTCCATTAAACAACAACACAAGGAGCTGATAAGTAAACAGCTCTCTCAGGCCTGTATAACATTTAATGAAATATAAACATTCTGCTCTATTTAGAAAACTTATTTTCATTATGCCTGTAATGTAAATTATTCTACTTTATATCAAGATATTATTGCTGTCTAACAGACTTCATCCAATGACCTGTAATGATTCTAAAGGTGTGTTTGCATGGTGAAGAGACTATAATCAGCTTTTATGGATTCATCACTTGCAACTGGAATTAAACTTGAGATACAAAAAATAAAAAGTTTTTGCACTGTATGATTTTCTTTTTTGTGTATAAATAATACATGATTTTGTGTCATTTTCAGATTCAGCATACTGCTTTTCCTGGTGAGGGTGCAGCAGACTTTGTGTACAAGGCAGGACAGCAAGTCCAAACTGCTCTGCTCCTGAACAGGACCTTCTATCCTTCCTTCTATCTGAGGGCAGATAGAAAGGGACAATTTAAAATGGCCAATCAAATCTTGCCTGGGATGTCGGGATGGTGGAAGCACATTACAGCACCTGTTAAAACAGGGAAAACATGCAAACAGAGACATACCAGAATCTGGAATCAAACCCAGGATCCTAGAGCTATGAAGCAGTATTTAATTTATGGAGTCATGAATATATTTCACATTGACTTAATATTTAGATTGATCATTTAAACACAGGTTAATACACATTAATACACATTTCTACTGTATTAATTCAAACTGCAATACAATGAATACAGTATTTTCCATTGTATTAAATTAATGTGTGGTGAAGCTTCATAGGTGCAAATGCCTTTATATCTTCTTTCATCAAATAACGGACGATGACAGTGCAATCTCTGTAACTGCATTCCTATTCAACCTTTACAGTACAAGTGGAACTACTGATATTTCTTTGTAATATTATGTTTCTTTAGACATTATGAACAAATAATGCTTAGATGTGTTTAAACAAAGTATTCCCGAAAAAAGATTCTGAGCACATGTCCAATAATAATAGACTCCCATTAATGATTTGATGTTAATTATTTTTTTGATAGAGGTCAGGACAGAAAGTCTGCAAGGTCACACTATCCAAACTGAGTTTATAGAGAAGAAAATTGTGACCTTGGCTCTGGAATGTAATAACACTCAGGGATTCATGAAACCCCCCATAAAAAAGCCAGTTTTAAATATTTAATTGAGGAGTAAAAAAAGACAAAAATAACAGAGGAGTATCAAACTTTTTTCTTTTAGTGACACAATAATGGATTCCATTATCATAATGGACATTTGTTCTAAAATATGTTTGAAACACAATCCTTTTTGGCATTAAGATCTTTGGCCAGGTTTCTCCACTGGAATAAAATAAAGAAATGAAATACAACATTGTACTGTGATGTTTTATTTAACAGATGGGTTTAAGTTTGAATTCATAAGCCTTATAAGACTTATCAAGTTGCAATATTTTAAAACAATTTTAAGCTAATTTTTACTGAGTTGTTAGAATAATATTTACAGTCAACATTTATATTAGTTCAGAACTTAACCACATTTTTATTGTCAAAAGCCCACTGTTATAAAGAGATGGTTTTACTTAACAGTGGACAATGATTCACAATACAGTACTGAAATAGTGGCTCTTATTAATATCTTGAATGGACAGCAGGTGGCGCCTGTTAAACTTTGATTACAGAAGAAAACTAGTCCTTATATGAAATATTTATCAACTTTTCTACAGCCAGAAATGATCACTTTAGCTGACAGGAGATTTTTCTGTACCTCAAAAAAAAAGTATGAAATTACAAGTTTCACAAATGCATTGCTTTACAATTGTTTTGTCTTGTTTGTTATTTTATATGTGTGTATTTTTGAGTTTTTAAGCATTCTAAGTCAAGCGTAAGAACAATGTAGATTTTTTAAAGTAAGTTTTTAAGGTCTTGTATGCTTTCATCTTGTTGTTTTTAATACTCTAACACATTCCTGTAACAGGAAGTTTAAGTCTGTAACATAAAAGGTCACATGGGGACATGCTTCAGATATTCATTATTGTGAAAAAGTATGACCAAGACATTCCAGAGAACAAATACATGCTGACTTTGGGGTACAATGCAATTTACATTAAGGAGCAATCAGGAAACACACAGGTGGCACTTAATACAGAGTCTTGGGATGTTGTAACAAAAGTCTAAGGTATTGAAGCTGATATTGTGGAGTCCTTTAAGAAATGGTTTGATGGTATTCTTCTATCATTCAGACACCGCACTAACTAGCAAAAACAAGCAAAGTATGCCTATTGCCCTGAGCCTCCTCTTCTTTGTAACCTCTTATGTCCTTTCATTCAATATTATTTTATCCTAGCTCTTCTGTCATTTAAAGACAACAGATTATTCACATTATAAGCTTATAATGATAAAATTATAAACTGATTGCATCTATAGCCTTTGTAAATTCTTGCTCAAAATACTTACCAAATAAGACAAAAATGGTGAAGAATATAATAAAGTGCAAAAACATCAATGTTATACTAAATTCTGTTAATAATGTGCTGGTATTTTAGGTACAGTATATGTCAAGGTTAACTTGTCAGTTAAATTAAGTGAATGACTTCATACAAAGACACTTGGCTTTTTCAATTGAAAGAGCATAATAAGATTGACATGTTGAAATGCTGGGCAACAATTTTAACACTTTATATTAAGTACTGTGCATTTAAATATTCATATTTGTGTTGAGTAAATCAATAAATTACTTGTACATCAGGAAAATATACATTTTTACAAGTTAAGCTGTGAAATTGTGTGCTCAATAAAGAATACACAAATGATATTCTGACTAAAAAAGTAGAAATACATAAACCATAAAAAGTCAAAATGTCGGTCTGTTATACCATATATACTGTATACAGAAAAAATAATGACAGTATTTAAAAATAATAATGGTATGTTATTTTAAAGATATTTGCTTGGGACATACAGAAAATTTTTCTACTTTATATTTTGAAAATTAAAACATGAAAGATTTAATGCAAGTAATTAAGATTAGACGTATGTAGGCCAGTACAGTAATTGTATGGTATTTATATTTTACTTTCTGAAAATATTGTTTTTTCACCTGTTTTAATTTTAATTTTAAAATGTATCATACAACCTAAGCACTTTTATTATATTGAACTCCACCTTAAATCTGTAACCACTTATAACATGAGAACTCTATTTTTTTAAGTATCATCGGTCAGCTTGACAAGATCTGTTAAACTACATTACTTTGGTTCTAATGAATCAAACAGGCTTTATGGACACAAAATATTTAAATACAATACTGCACCAGACAGCAAAACTGTTATTAAATCTTTAGTATTTTTAGCTAATTATTTGCATTTGAAATAATTCTGGTTATTTTAAGTTCAGTGGCTCGAAGTCCTTCCCAGGGGTTTTTACCTCCCAAACCCGTTTTAAGAGGTCATATTTCCAAGACTAGCATTTAAGTTCTTTGAGTCACGAAACCAATTTGCTGTAATTTTGTTCCAAACAACATCCCTCTAGTCACCTTTAATGGAATGACCTTTTAGTGTTTGTCTTGTGCCTTCATTACAAACAACTGTAATCAAAACTAGACAAAAAAAACAGTTTCCATAAGGTGTGGTGCTTCAGTCATTCACAATATGCTTGGAAAAATGAGACCAGGCTCAATAAGCCAAAAAAGCATTTCATACATGACCTGTGCTGGGTTCAGACTTTCAGGCAATTCCCACATGGTTACCTTCTCCTCTCTTGATTTTTACTTAACCTCTTCTGAGGCTTTCCATCCCACTTACTTTACCTTCTGTAATTTAACAATCCTCTCTGTGATTTGATGGCCATTTCTACTGGCACTGTTTTTTCTGACCTCCCTCTTAGTTCACCCTTGGCCTATTTACACTCAGCAATCCACTCTGTCCTACACACCTCTCTCTGTCACCAGCTTCTGTGGCAGCTTTTCCACTGACCACATTTTACATGTCTGACTCCAACAGATTTAGTAACAAAATTAGTGGTTCAAAATCACTCATTAAAAACAATTTTTTCCACTACTTTGTGTAAAATTGCAAATTGATCTATAATTAATTGAGGACATTTAGTCCTTGAGTGGCCCTTGTGTGAATGTGTGCATTTTTGTGTCTCTGTTTGCCCTGCAATGGACTGACTTCCCATCAATAGAGTACCCTGCCTTTCGCCCATTGCTTGCCAGGATTGACTCCACCTCCCCTGTAACCATGAATTTGATGAAACAGTCAGAAAATGGATAGATGGATTTTTGTGCTCGTTAAGGAGACATAGCAGCACTTGAAATGGAAATTTCCCCCTTTCTAACCAAACCAGATAAGACATAAGGTGCAAAATTAACCTTATGTCTCACTTCACCTTTTTGTCCATTCCCTTGTCGGCAAAATTCTGTCTCTTTGCCTGTCTGTGTTTTTAATTAACTCTCAAGACTTGGCCTAAAAGCACTGTAATAAGATGTGTCAAGAATTATGGCAGTTTCAGCACAAATATCCAGTGAAAACCAAATCACAGAACTGATTTCATCACGTCTCCAGAAGTAGAAGGAATTAAAGGGGTAGAAAGGAATCCATCTTGCACACTGCTCCCTTACTAGCAAAATACCAGTTTCACTAGTTAGGATTCCTCTACCAAGGGAAGGTTAGAATCCCAAGGGATTACCACTGACCCCAGCAAATTCTTTTTCAGTATTGTTTCACAGTTAGAGGTAAACTGACTAGGTATTTTTAAACCTGGAACAAAATACAGTATATTTGAACTGCAATGTTTTCTTTCACTTTATGTACTTAAATTAACTTAAGTTAAACTTTTTAAATAATTTAGATATATTTATTACAAGTATAGCTACACTTGATATTTAGATTATCTTACAAAATAAAAAATATTAGTGTGATATTTTGTGATATAGTGATTATATTTTGTGGGCTTGGAGTGAGTGTCACTGAGAATAAAAAAAGTAGTTGACAATTGTATTTAGATTTAAGATTTTTTTAATATATTATGTTTAGACTGAGATTACAATTAAATTAGATACACCAAATTAGTTTTTGAATGTGTTAATACATACTGTACATTCTAACAAATTATTGTATTACACAGATACTGTAGTTCCAATAATATTGCGCAATACATATTACTAAAAAAGTAAAAAACAAAGAAATTCCTAGTGTTCATGTAAATCTTTAATAGGTACAGTATATTGAAAACGTACAATGTAATGTGATTAACATATGAAAAGGATTTGATATTCCTTCAAGAATTAATGGATTATTATAACTATTTATAATTAAAGACTGGATTATAAATACAAACATCCATCTTTAATCCATGTTTTTTGCTTAAACCCAAAATAAATATTCAATAACACAATGAACGAATACCAAAATGTAATCTCTTTCACATGCACATTTGCAGGGACACAATCTCAAAAACATCAATCTCAGAGAAAGCTTACAGTACCTCTATGAACTTCTAACCCATAATATTACTGCCCCTGGCTGTAAAGCTGCAGAGATCCTAATTTGAACATCATATCATCATTTCCAGAACCAACATCTATGTTTTGGAAGGGTTTGGAAGTGCCTCTCAAGAACTGATTATCATTCAACAGAGTTATGCACATGGACAGCAAGCAGCTCTAACACTTCATGAAATTCTGGGACTCATGGAGTAACTAGTGTAACTAGTATTTCTCTAATATAGATGCATATAAGAACTGTCCTTTTTCATTCTGTGCTTATAGCCTCTAGCTCATCTGAGGCCACAGAAGCCATAGTTAATTTTCATTGACACATGCACAGTGGCTCCGTGAATTACAGTCAGCTTTATTATACCAGTGTCAGTGGGTTCAGAAACCCAATTTTCATCTTCATTAATGTCAGGTTAGAAAACCAAAGATGGGATTTAAGGTCCTCTCAATGTTTTTTACATTCATTTAGTTAAAGATGTAAGAATATAAAGCTGGAGTTGTGTACTCTACTGTATATAAACCCATGATACAATACTTTATAAATTATTTGGTATTGTGGAAGTGTTAATTGGGACATTTATAAGGAGAAAAAAATCGGATCTATCTAATGATTTGATCAACTCAATGAATCATCTGCAATAACCTCTCTCTCAACTGGACATACTGTATGCTTAAAAGATTCCTCATTCTTCAAAGATGTTGGTGGTCATCTGAAGATAATTTGCCATGGTAAATGCCTGTCACTCAAATCAATAGGTATTGATTGTGATTTAATCTGAAGTCAATATTTACTGATTGAAAGGGGCATTAAAAACAGAAGATTTTTAGGTAGAATTTCCTCATGAGAAAATTGGTGCTTTTTATTATGCATTTATTAATTTATTAAGTGGTCACATTGAGATGATTTTGTTTTTCTTCAGTGGCACAACATAACTTCTAGGAAGCAGTCCAGTGGGTGTGCTATCGTTTGTAATGTGAGTGTTTAAGCAGCAGGAAACCATTTCCAAGTGGAACAAAATCACAAAGTAAAATGAAGTGCAGCCTCTACGAGTACTATGTTACCAGGGTGCCCTACAGCAAAGCACAAAACTTGAAAAGCAGGGTTAACAGTGTCCCTGTAGTATTTGGTAGAATTACATAGAATTGCATTCCTAATTAATATTGCCTACAACAATTTACATTTACAGGAGACATTAACTGATTTCCTTGCCTGAATGCAAGGCTTTTAAAAAGTATAATGCAAACAATTAACATGCTGTAGTATTTATTCAACATTTGATGAGACTTTTTACTTAAGCAGACAAGCCTCGAGCAAATAAAATGGAGTGGAACAAAAAGAACATTCTCACACATACATATTTTTCATGTACTGTATAACTGCAAGTCCTTTTTACTGTAGTTGAGTAAGCATACACAGAAAAGAAAGTTTGCATTTTTTTTTTTTTTTTTCCCCTCCACAAACAAGGGAGGAAATGTGCCATCATGTTATGTATGCTCTTCAAAAACTAAACAAGATTTTTCTGTGATCAAAATGTGGTAAATCTTTTTTTCCTGAAGATTGGACATTTGATTATACAGTAGCTTCCCCAAGCAGAAAAAAGAAAGTAAGGACCAATATGTTTTCTCTGCCACAAACTTCCTTTATATTAAACATACAGTATTGAAATATTTGATGTAATTATACAGAAAAAGTAGGGATGTTTTCAGGAACAATATACAAGTTTATGATAAATCTACTGTGCAAACTCCTGTGATTTGTCTTCTTATAGTTTTCTGAGAGACACATTTCTAAATAAGATACAACTTATTATATTATTCTGTAATTAAACGGTAGGCGGCATTGAAGAGCAGCTTAAGTATTACCTTGGGGATGCTAGATGTGTAGAGCTTGGTCCCTAGAGGTCAGCTACGCAAATCACAAGATACATTTCTGAAATTATGGCGTGCTGGGATTTTTTAAAAACATTTGATTCAAAGTGATTTTGCAAAGCTCCTTCTAAGGTTTTTCTTTCCAGAAGTGATTGTTTATGTACTTGTATACATCTGTTCTTTTTCTCACTATTGAACTCAGAGATGTACACATTTATGGTTTAGAACGTCTGCAATATATGGAAAAAAATATTTCTTTGTGATAAGGTTACGGAACTGAGCTGAGTATGTTTAAGTCTGTTCTAAGGAAGTTGTGTAAACCACCTTTTATCTTTCAAATTAGCTACCTGTAGATCAAAAACAAAAATCCCTATACCAGTGCCCATTGGACCATTGGAAATAGGCATGGAAAATATTTTATATTTTTGTGTGTCTTCAGTTCTCTTAATATTCTGAATTTTGCAAATGTATGGCAAATTGATTAGAAATTACTATTACAAACATGTATGCACCTTTCGAAACTATGGAAAAGGAGCCTAAAGGAACCTGTAAAAAAAGTGGGGAAAAAAACTCCATATAATAAAATAGAAATAGTATAAGGGTTTACACATTAACTTGCACATGTGATAAGAGAAACTAAATGATGATATCTAGTTTTATAAAAAAGTGAAAATAACAGATTCAAAATACTATAAATGAATGCAGTATAGGATAAGTACATAGGATTGCAAAACAATATGATTACCTAAACTCTGTCATATAATGGAAGATCATGAATATGTTAGGGAAAAAATACTAAAATGTGCTTTTACATTTCTAGGTAAATTAGAGTTTTCAGCTTTAAATCAATAAGATTCTATGATTTTCTGGACCTTCAGACACTTGGGTTGGCACACTAAAGGGAATGACTTTCAGTGTTTTTTTCTGGATGGTGTAATAATGTCTGTGGGTGGTAGTGAGTAAATACTAGAACATTTAGGAGATGCACTGACACATTCCTAATAAAAAATAAAACACATTTAAACAAGTACAATTGAGCATAATAGTTAGTGTGAAGTGGTTAAAACAGGAAAAAGCAGAGTCAGAAAGTATGCATAATCACTGTCAGTCTTTAAGGTGCATATAAATGACTCTTACTTTAGTATACTATTAAAAGTTTCATCTTTACAAAAACTTTTACATGCACATGCAATGCCTTGACAGCAAACTCTTAAGGTGTCAAGGCAGATGCCAAAATTTTAGAAAACTAAGAAATACTTAGGCAATTTGTCAGCTCCATCTGACATTCAACATTCATTACAGTTTTGCTCAAACTTATAATTTGTAAACAGAGATAGTGATAGTCATGCAATATAGCCAATATAAGAAATCCACAAATAAGGAGACAGAAAAGAAACCACCCAAACAAGCAACAGCATATTGTCAATCCATTGGACTGTAACTTGGGTAAGAACATTTTCCCAAATATTTTGCATTTAGA